TATCCCAGATTAGGCATTAGAAATCCCAGGATAAATACCTAAAATCTTGTAAAAAACACCTGAATTCCCAGATTATACATTTGAAATCTCTGATTAGACATCTACAATCTAATATTAGAGCTCTGAAATCCCAGGACAAACACCTACAATCTTGTAGAAAACACCTGAATTGCCATTTTTATACATTTGAAATCCCAGATTAGACATCTTAATTCCAAGATTAGACATTCAAAATCTCCAGATAAACACTTGCGCTTTAAGATTAAACAATTGTAATCTCATATTAGATATCTAAAATGCAAAGATTGACAACAGAATTCCCAGATTAGACATCAGAAATCCCAGATTGGACATTTAATGACACATTAAAAAAAAAACATCTGTTAATGTTTTATGTCTGCAATATCAAGATGATATTTCTAATTGAGAACGTTTTGACCATTAGATGAAATGAGAATAATTTAATCATTTAAAAAACAAACAACAACAAAAACCAGACATGAAATATAAGGATGACATCATAGTACCAAGTTTACATTCAGTTTCTTTAATTTTAAGGGGAAATTATGTTTTCTTTACCACCATTATGCCACAGTTTTGACTAATGTTTTATGAACCAAAATGTTCACCTGTCAAACAAGTGCATCAAAAACTATAATATTTTATCACGAAACAGAAAATAATTGCACATAACTGTGTATCATAAATATGTTACCTTTTTCATAAGACCTTTGAGATTTTTAAAGACCGCACTTGAAGATTTTGGGCTGGGATCTGCTCAGACACAATGAAAAAAGTCAGGGTTATAACCAATTTTTTGATTTTAATTGAACTTTTTAAAATCTTAAACATGCTTATTAAACATGAGAACTCAAAACCTCTCAAAATTTGGAACATCAGAAGTTGTCTTGAAGACTTCAGCATGGATTTGTACGCTGACACATTCACACTCAGTCAACAAAAGACTGACCTCGGCAATGCAACAGCAGGAAAAGTCATACCTGGGTTCTTTGGTGTCGACTTTTGGTCCTCCGTTTTGGAAGACCTGCAAAAACTCATGGTACTTAAAACATTACAGAAAACGACAAAGACTGATTATAACATATCTGTATGCAAACATTACCCGCTAGGCTTCTCCTTCGGTGGCGACTTCTATCAATATCCACATCCAGTATGAAGGACAGAAAGAAACATTTGTTTAATTTTTAAATAAAAAAATCTTTGTAAATAAAAGACACGCACAAATTTCATACTGAGATGGTAAACACAGAACAATCTCTAAAGACTAACAGTATTACAAACATTTTTATTCAATGTACTTCCTGTGTAGAAATGAGTCACATGTCCAATGATGTTGAATTATAAATATTTTACCGTTTCACTTGTGGGAGCAGGTGTCACCCCAGGATGTCCTTCTCCTTGGCTGACGGCTACTCCAACACAACCACATTTCAAGATTAATTACCTTTGGAATTCAATTTAATTAATTTAATCTGAACAAATATTAAATGTGTGGATTTGAACTTTCTATCTGCTTGTAATCTTTAAAAATTTGAATTGATTAAAAGAAGGAAAAATGTTTTGACCAGCAGAAGTTAACAGTAGGAATAAAAATCTCTGACTCCTCCCATGGGTCAATGTTGAAGTAAAAAATATCCAGCTTTATAGGAGTTGCCATGTTGTATTTTTGGAACTAGAATCTTTGCTGTTAAAATGAAGATTGCAAGGCTCGACTACTCCCTCTGCACACAACCACTGAGTTTTTTTAGGCATCAGAATCTGCTGATTCAATTTTTTTTTTGTCCAACATGTGTTCTCCAAACCAACCAAGTGGTTCCAGTCAGGGCTTAATTTGTAAACCAATTGATGCCGGAACACAAATAGCAGGCGGTCCGGCGGGGGTTGGGGGCGTCCGTGGGTCCTCCACCAGAAAAAATATGGAATTAAAGAGATGCCATTTCCTGCATTTTGGTGTATTTTAACATGTTTGTTAAATATCTGTAAACATTTGATTAAATTGATTAAAAACAGGAAGGTTGAATTGAAATTACTATTTTAGACAGCAGTGAATAGAGCAGCTCCGATTCTGTCAAGCATCCTATTCCCCCCCCACACACACACACACACATAAACTTCAATGTCCGACCCGAACTCTTCTCAGCTGAATTCAGTCCTGCAGGTTGTTCTGCTCCAATCGCTATTCAAGTGTTTCATTTCTCTGTTGTCCAGCTAAAGACAATCCATCCATCCATTTATTTTAGATAATAAAGTGGCCTGTCTCTTCGACATTTTGATCCTGTTATTGTGACAAATTTTGAAACGTGATTATGTGAATAATACACATCAAACATTTCACTCGTTTTTTTTTTTTTTACTGTAAGCATTTTATTTATTATCTTTGAAATGTATGTGGGAGTTCGGACACATTGGCAGTTGTGCACGTTCCGCAGAGCCGTCTGGAGATGCTCCTTTGCGTAAAACATGCACTGTCTGCAGGGCGCACAGCTGAGCAAGGTGAAGCTGACACCCCACCCACGTCAAAAATTCCAGTAAGTACAATGAGTGTTTAGTGCTAAGTTTGTGCTGGTTTGTGCCGTTAAATATTTGTTTGTGCTGCTTTGGTTTCTGAGACACAACTGAAGGTGGATGAAGACGCTTCATCTCTGCGGGACATGCGATCAGCGTCTCTACCAGGCAGGAGCGTGTGCGCGAGCTGGTGCACCTGCTGCAGCAGTAACATCCATTCCACAGACATGGACAACTTCTCCTGTTGTTGTATTTTTAATAAATAGTCAAAATAAAAATGTGTGATGACTTTGGATTTTTATGGGCAGAGATATGAGCTGCCGGATACGAGCAAACAGTTGACGGACCGCGCACGGTGAAAATAAGGGAGTTCCCGCATCTTGTTCTGGCAGGATCCGGCTCAAATTAACCACTGGTTCCAGTGCATGCATGTTCTAAGTCCTGCTCCTTCCATGTTAACAAATGGGACATTGCTGTTTTAAAAAGAACACATCAGGTCATTTTTTGTTTTTCCTGTATGCTCAAATGTTCATGAATATGTATCCATCCTCAATCTGTCTGAGACACGCTGTAGTTCAATTCAAGGTGGTGCACCGGCTGCACTGGTCCAAAGACAAACTGTCCAAGATTAAAACTGACCTGGATTATGCATGTAACTGTTGTAAACAAACACCAGCTACACTCTTACACACATTCTGGACTTGTCCCAAACTGCGGACCTATTGGCAATCTATTTTTGACAAGTTCTGCACTCACTCTCGTTCAAGGTGGACAACTTTTCCTCTTCCTCCCTGTTCTTTTCTTCCACCTGCTTTTTTGCTCTCTGTCTGTGTCTCGGAGCTCCTGTTACACATCGTGCAAACGAAAAATACTATTATAGATCTGTTGAGCTGGACTTTCAACGCAATCGACAAAATCTTTTCAAGAAAATGACAGGGTCCTAGAGCGCTCGCATGTCCCGCTGAGACTTACGCTGCAGGATAGTTCATGGACCCGTGGGGGATGTGGGACTTGATGTGTCTTTCAGTTCTCTCTCAGGAGGACACCAAAGACATTTATATAATTGGATTCATGATAGCAGAGTTTCTGCTTTTTAGCATTGGCAGGTTCCTATGTTATCGGCTTATGAAGAAGACATTGGCAGCAGCTTCGGCCATGACAAAACTGCCAAGTCTGTGTGAAGGTTTGGTTGATGCTATGAGTACTCAAAATCAGCTGATTTACGAGCTAAGCCATAAGATAGAAGCAATTTGTGAAAATCACAGGCCACCTGCGGCTTCTTGGACTCGCCACCATGTTGGAGACGACCTTGAATCATTGCACGGATCAGTAGAATGCTCATAAATTTGGCTATTTTGGATCTTGAAAGTACCAGCAGGACTCAAGGCTGACAAGAAAAAAAGCAGTCTGCCTGAAGAAAATCAACAATTGTGGCTTATCTGAATCTGACTCCCCCGTTTGGCCTTGAAAGCAGGCCGACTATCAAATTTCTCCTGGGACATGGGTAAACTAAGGAAAAAGCTTTGTGTATCGAACCCCCCCCCCCCCCCCCCACCCCCGAGAACTTCTGTGCAGGGTTATCAGAATTGCTGGTTGACCAACATCTTATCAGGACGATGGCACCTATCTGGAATGGGCTTGATTGACACATCTCACCTTCTTGTTGTCAAATGCATATGTAATGTGTTTATAAATATGCTTGCTGGTAGAGTTTTTTTGATGTTTTAAATCGTGACCTGATAAGACAGGATGTGAAGAGATCTTTTTGTAATACCACTATCCATCCTCATGGCCTTTTACCTTTTTCTATCTAAAAAAAAAAGTATTCTGATAAAGAATAAGAGGCCGCATTCTTGTAGTAGCAGCAACGTGCATGCCACCCAACTTTCGGATTACTGTACGAACATAATCTCACTGTATCTTGGTACAATGATAATAAAACTTATTCGGATTCTTCTGATTCTGATTCTCTGTGATATGTGGAAAAACTATGCACCCATCAAGTTTCATCTCACTGTTCGGGGTAGTCCCTGTGGATATGCCCTTCAGCAAGTATGAGAATGATATGACTGCTTTTGGTTCTCTTCTGACCAGGAGACTTGCATTGTGCAGTTGGAAGGACACGCACACCCCTGGCATATGAACATTGGATAAGAGAAATCATGTATCATATTAATTTGGAAAAAAATAGATATACCCTGAAAGGTTCTGTTAAAAGATTTTGGGACACTTGGCAGCCTTATGTGTTGTATGTTGAAAACAGGTCAATGCCTGTTTAAGACATTTATGCATGTGTGGCTGATCCAGCTGATACCACATTTAGCCGAAATTACTTATTTCATGCTTTAAAGAAGCTCTTGGGCCACCATGACCATGTGCAGAGGAGTAAGCAGGGTTTCCTTAGTGCTGATATCCTGGTTTCAAAAATACATCCTGGCAATCCACTTTAACCGAGGTCTTATGGCTGCATTTTTTCAAAACACGAAGTGGATTATTACATCTGCAGGTTTCTTTAACAGTCAGTGATCTGCATGCTGTTTTCACGGAAAAAAAAGTATAACCTCTGGGGGTGTTCAGGTGAGAGCAGGAGAAGTTTTACCTGAGTTACTTCTGGTGAAGTTCAAGTCCCCTTTTGTGGAGGTCCTGTGAAAACTCATAGCACTTAGAGAACTGTTACAGAAAACTATAAACTCTAGATAAGTATATGTTTTTGTGAACATTACGTGGTAATCTCTGTTGTTGCTGTCTTGATGATGTTGGTTTTTGTGTCTGAAGACTAAGAAGGAAAATAGTTAAATAAAACAAGAACATATTTAGTAAATACATAAAATTAAAAATGAAGATGTTGCGAATGAATGTAGCCAATAAAAACAGCACATCAGGTGGTAATTAAGACATCTGAACTTGTTTGTTCGATGAGCTGCTCATAACACTGAGTGTTACCTCTGTTTGACTGAGTCAAGACTTTTCATTCAGTAATACAAACACTTTTCTTCAATGTTCTTAATTCCTATGTAGAAATGAGTTGGATGTCCAAAGATTCTGAATTATAAATGTTTTACCTTTTCACTGGTGGGAGCAGGTGTCATCCCAGCATGTCCATCTCCTTGGTTGATGTCTACTCCAACACAATCACATTTCAAGATTAAATATTAACATTTGAATTAAAGTTGTCTAAACCAATTTTAAATATATGTCTATGTTGGGATTTGAAATTTCCCTCTGCTTATAATCTTTAAAAATGCAAATAGACAAAAGCATGCTTTGACCAACAGGCGTCTCTGACTCCTCCCATTTTCCAATGTTGAAGCCCAAATATCCAGATTTATAGGAGTTGCCATGTTGTATTTTTGGAACCAGAATCTTTGCTGTTGAAATGAAGGCTGCATGGCTCACCTCCCTCTGCACAAAACCACTGACTGTTTTAGGCCTCAGAATCTGCTGAATCAGATTTATCAGACATACAAGAACAAAATGTGTTCTCCAAACCAGTAAAAAAAAAAAAAAAAATTAAAAATAAAAATCTAAAGTTTTAGTATTAAAAAAAGAATATATGATAAATTATCGATAACTGAATAAATATTTGTACATACAGCTGAGGATAGAATTGTATGAAACAACTAGTCAACATCTAAACAAAAAAGGTTTTGAAGTGTTTTATTTTTAGGCTCGTTTTCATGTATTTAAACATGTACAGCAGCCTGCCGACAGGGGGCGCCAATCTGTTCTGACTTCAGTTTCCATGTCAAGTCCTTGTGTCCACAGTGGCGCAGTAGGTAGATTTGTTGCATCTCAGCGAGCAGGTTACTGGATCAAAACTTTGCCCGGGGTCTTTCTGGGTGGAGTTTGCATGTTCTCTCCGTGCATGCGTGGGTTTTCTCCAGGTACTCTGGTTTCTCCCACAGACCAAAAACATGCATGTTAGGTTAATTGGTAACTCTAAATTATCCCTAGGAGTGAGTGAGAGAGTGAATGGTTGTCTCATTTGTACCCGCTTCGAATGTTATCAGCCATTAAATGGCCGTTATTAGTTGTTATTATCTCCATAGGTTTCCTTCAGACTGTCCCTCCTGTACCTCCTAGTAGGTTTAAAGGTATATTCTTATTGCTGATAATATGTCATGGGTCAGGGGGTTAAGTTTAGGGTCAGTGCTCTAGGTCAGGTGTAAGGTTAGGTTTAGGAAAAGGGTTAAATAAAGCTAACAAAAAAAGCTTCCGGTGTTACATGTGGGCGAAGCTGCATATTATCGGCGATGGGGGCCGAGATGGTTTAGAGGCAGGGCAGCCGGCCTGGGATCCCAAAGTCCCAGGTTCGATCCACCGGCACTGCACACCTCGTGGTGTCTCTGGGCAGCACAACTCTTCCCCAAAATGCTCCCCGGGCGCTTTCAATAGCTGCCCACTGCACCACCTTGTGGTAGATGGGTTAAATGCAGAGACTAATTTCACCATTGTATGGAAACATACAGTGATGACAATATGATGACATTATTATTAGTAGTATTATAAGAGTGTATGTTTAAACCAACTAGGAGGTACAGGAGGGACAGTCTGAACGCAATCTATGGGGATGATAACTAATATCGGCCATTTAATGGGTTGATAACATTCGAAGTCTGTCATTTGGCTCTATGTGTCCCTGTGATGGATTTGCGACCTGTCCAGGTTGTTGCACATTGTCTATGGGCAGCAGTGACCCCCTGCGACCCAAAAAGGGATAAGCGTGTAAAGATAATAGATGAATGGATGGAAGTGCTTGTGTCTAATTAATAATGTTTGTGAGTGATGAAAGGGAAAATTAGATATCCTAAAGGAGCTCAGAAGATGAAGCAAAAACAGGACTGGAGTCCCTGCAGACTGGTTCCAGTGCATGCTCTAAGTCCTGCTCCCTCCACCTAAATAACTAGGACATTGGTGAATTAAAAAAACAACAACAAAAAAACACACCCCTCAGATCATTTTTGTTTTTCCTGGATGCTCAGATGTTCCTGATAACACATTTAGCTACAATAAGTTATTTCATGCTTAAAAGAAAGCTATTGGGGCTCCATGGTCGTGTGCAGAGAAGTAAGCAGGGCTTCCTTTGTCTTGAGATCCTCGTTTCAAAAATACATCATGGCAATTCACTTAAACTCAGGTCTTATGGCGTCATTTTTCAAAAACATGGGGTGTATTGTTACATCTGCAGGTTTCTTTAACAGTCGGTGATCTGCATGTTGAGTTTTTACGCTCAATAAAGAAAATGTAACTTCTGGGGGTGTTCAGGTGAGAGCAGGAGAGGTTTTACCTGAATTACTCCTGGTGGAGTTCAATTCCCCTTTACTGGAAGTCCTGTGAAAACTCATAGCACTTAGAGAACTGTTACAGAAAACTATAAACATTAGATAGGTGATATGTTTTAGTGAAGATTACCTGGTAACATTATCATTAATTATTGTCTGGATGCTGCTTTTTGTCTCTGAAGACTACAGTAAGAAGGAAAATAGTTAAATAAAACAAGAACAGATTTAGTGAATAAATGCAATTTAAAAAAAAAAGAAGATTTTGTGAGTGAATGTAGCCAATAAAACCAGCACATCAACCGAGGTGGTAATTAAGACATTTGAACTTGTTTGTTCGATGAGCTGCTCATTACACTGAGTGTTACCTCAGCCTGACAGAGTCAGGACTTTTTGTTCAGTAATACATATGCTTAATTTCTATGTGGAAATGAGTCACCTGCAAAATGATTCAGAAACAAATGTTTTTACCTGTTCGATGGAGGAAACGTGTATCTCAAGCTGTCCTTTCCCTTGATTCAAGTCTAATCCAACACAATCATAACATTTCAAGATTAATATTGTTTTTTTTTTCCTGACTAACAAAAATGTCTGAGAACAGCCGAACTGTTCAAACCTGTTTTACTCGGGGCTGAGTTGTCTTGTTTTGACACGCCAATCCTGCAGATATAGATGCAACGATTAGAAATGTGAAAAACATGAAAGAAAGCTACAATTATTTCTTTTATTTAGCTTCAATCTCTCCAGCCATTATTAATGATATTATGATTATGTAGTAGTAGTAAAACAGGCAAATTAACGAGTAGATAAAAAGACAAAATATGTGAAACATGGCAGGAACTTGGATTAATAGAGTCCAGATTTGTGCAAACAGATAAGTTTCGAGTGAAGTTTAAATGTAGAAAAGGTTCTCAGGCCCAGTGTGGATGAGGGTAAGAAGAGCTGGGAAGTAGAAAATGGTCTGGGAGTTTGGGATAAAGTGTAACATTTCAAAATTTTGTCCTGCATCGTCTTTTGGAGCGCTTTGAAAGGGAGGAAGAAAAGCTTTAATTTAATTAAATACTGGAGAGGAAGCCAGTGGAGAGATTTTGAGTTACATGTTCAGTCGATAAAATTCTGGAAACAATGCATGGGGCAGATTTCTTGGCCTGCTGAAGTTTATAGATTAATGTGTTTGGTAGACCAGAGAGAAGATAAATACTGTAATTGATGTGAAAAGTAACGATGTGGATGAGAGTAGCTTTATTGTTGAGAAACTTGAAAAGCTGTTATTCTGTGAGTGCAGCAATGAAAATTGGTAGAAAAAGTCAGGGTACTGATGTGTTTTGCACAAGAAGATGTACAATCAAGGATGGTGTTAGGGAAGTTATGTAAAGGTCATGGATGTTTTCACATATTATAGAAATATGTATGTGAAGTCGAGAGTCTTTCTGTCTACTCAGAGAGGAGTCTGATAACTGATAACTTCTGATGCCTTCAACAACTGTGAGCTGTGAAGCAGAGGTTGCGTTGACCTTGGATGTTATCAGCGTAACACTAAAAATTGGATATTTTCTCACTTTAAAATAAAACAGAGGGGAAGCGGTTCGTCGATGTCCTTCGTCACTGAAGGATTTAAATAGCGAATATTTGTAGTTTACGAGATGAGTGTTGGATTTTGATGCTCAATAATCCAGGTAAAAAAATCCAAAAAGGTCATCTCAACGGGTTTTTTTTATTTTAATTTAATTTTTTTAAGAAACCATCCAGAGGACATGACTTAACTTTGTTGAATTTCAATATGGACCTTTCTTACTTCGGTGCAGCTACACACCAAAATAGAAGTCAGCACAATGCTTATTTATCAAGTTATACAACAAACATGGTTTACATACATAAACATCTATGGCGGCAGCCATATTGGATTTTGACCTGGTAACTCACATTTGGAAAGGAACCTTTCTTATGCACTGAGTCAGCCACTGACCAAAATAGAAATCTGTACCTCCCTTGTTTTTCAAGTTATTGAGCTCACATGCACAGACAGATCGTGCAGAACTGAGCTCTGGGTAATTGGGGTTGGTTGTGACTGGAAACTTTTGAGCTGAACAAAACTGAATGTGGTGAGAAAGGTATGATGCGAAGCAAATGTGTGATTTTATTTTTTTTTTAGATACATGAGAAGCAAGACAGTTGAGAGGGATAGTATAAAACAACAGTCAAATCAAAAGAGGATGAATATGGACAGAAAAGCTGAATCAGCATCCAACACTACCTGACTTCCTCCTCTTCCAGTAGCTTCCTGTAACAGCTGATCTCCATATCCAGTTCCATCTTGACGCAGAGCAATTTCTGATAATTGCACAATTGGTTAGCCATCTCTACCTTCATTTTGGCAATTTTGGACTCCAGCTTCTCCTTTTCTTGTCTCTGGTGGTCCTTCATGTCATTTATCTGCGATATAAGAAAGATAAGATGAGTGCTTGGAGTTCAGAGAGGACAGATATCAGAGATGCATGCTACGTACAGTGGTGTTAAGTGAAGTGATCGTAGAGGTTAATTCATTGATATGGACATTTAACTCTGTGATCTTCTTATTGGCCATTGACAGCTCTTCCTTGTTTGTGCTAACTGTCTTGTCCATTTCCGTGATCTGCAAAAATAAAGATCAGAGGTATTTGTTAAGGCAACAGAATATTGCAGAGAGATCCAAATGAAAACCACTACATGACACTATGGTTATTTTCATATATTCCATCCATCCATTATCTTCCGATTGGTGCAAAGTCAGGTTACCGGGACAGCAACTTGAGCAGGGGGGCCCAGACATCTCTTTCCACAGCCACCTCTTCCTGCTGCTCTGGGAGGCCCCAAGGTGTTCCCAGGCCAATACAGAGACATAGTCTCTTCAGCATGTCCGGGTTCTTCCCTGGGGTCTCCTCCCAGCCAGACACGCCTAAATCACCTCCCAAGGAGGTACCCAGGGAGCATCCTTACCAGATGTCTGAACAGCTCAACTGGCTTCTCTCGATGTGGAAGAGCAGCAGTTATACGCAGAGTTTCTCCCAGATAACTGAACTTCCCACCCTATCTCTAAGGGACAGTCCAGATACCCTGCGAAGGAAACCCATTTCAACCACCTGTATCTACAATCTTGTTCTTTCGGTCACTACCCAGAGTTCATGGACATAGGTGAGGATAGGAATGTAGATCAACCAGTAAACAGAGAGCTTTAACTTACAGCTCAGCTCCCTCTTCACCACAACGGACCGGTACAGAGTCTGCAATACTGCAGACGCTGCACCAATCCATCTGTCAATCTCATGCTCCATTCTTCCCTCACTCATGAACAAAACCCCAATATACTTGAACTCTTCCACTTGAGACAGAACCTCTCCCTCGACCTGAAGAGAGCAATTCATCCTTTTCCAACTGAGGACCATGTCCTCAGATTTGGAGGTGCTGATTCTCATCCCAGCTGCTTCACACTTGGCTCTGAACTGCTCCAGTGAGAGCTGAAGATCATGGCATGATGATGCCAACAGGACCGGATCATCTACAAAGAGCAGAGATGGAATCCTGAGGCCACTAAACCAGAATACCTCAGCCCCCTGGCTGCACCAAGAAATTTTGTCCATAAAAGTTGTGAACAGAATCGGTGGCAATGGGCAGCCCTCATGGAGTCCAACTCCCACTCTGAAGGGGTCTGACTTACTGTCAGCAATGTGACCCAAACTCTCGCACCGCTTGTATAGGGACCGAACAGCCCATAACAAAGGGCCCCCAATCTCATACTCACGGAGCACCCCCCACAGTGTATCCCAAGGAACATGGTCAAAATCCTTCTCCAAGTCCACAAAACACATGTAGACTGTATGGGCAAACTCCCACGACCCCTCAAGGACCCAAGTGAGGGTAAAGAACTGGTCCAATGTTCCACAACCAAGACGGAACCCACATTGTTCCTCCTGGATCTGAGGTTCAACCAACAATCAGACTTGTTTTTTTTAATTTATTATTATTATAAAGTTTATACATTTTTTAAACAAAACTAAACAATTCTGTATACAATAAGAAATACAATCACAAATAAAATGAAAGGCAGCAGAAAGAAGAAAAAAATCTTACCTCTGCCCTTTTTTTCCAAAAAATTAATTCAAACAATAATAATTTTCAAATAACAAAAACAAAATAAATAACTCCTTCTCTAGCAACAATTTATACAAATACACATTAAGCTATTTCATAGTTTTTGTTTTAAACAAATAAACTTTGATCATTCTCTTAAATATACACATTGATCTGGCATTTTTAACATCACTCTCCAGATTATTCCATAATCTAATTTCTTGGATTGAAGTAGACCATTCCTTCAGACTAGTTCAAAATTTAGGTTTCACAAATATCTCTATCCCATTAAGATTATAACAACTCTCTCTTTTAACAAAATTTAATTGGATATTTGAAGGTAATGTGTTATTATGAACCCTATGCATAACTGATAAAATACTATAATCTACCAAATCATGGAACTTCAATAACTTCAGTTGCTAAAATAATGTACTTGATGAGTGACTGAAATGTTTTCTAGTAATAATTCTTACAGCTCTTTTCTGTAAAACAAAAATAGGATTTGTAATTGTTTTACATGCTTTCGCCCAAACCTCAATACAATAGATTAAGTGTGGAACAATTAATGTGTTATACAACATATACAGAGCTTTATCATTTAATTACTCCCTTACTTTGTACAGTACTGCAAAAGATGTAGCTATTTTTATTCTTACATAATTTATGTGATGCTTCCATGTCAGCTTTTCATCAATGATAACACCCAAAAACTTCACCTCACTAAATCTCAACACCCTCAACTCTAAATGGAACATCGACAGTTCTCTTTCTATTACTGAATATCATATAATTAGTTTTTGAAGACTTGTTTCTTCAATAATAATGAATAGTCCTTACCAGGGAGGCTAAGGAGAGCCTATAATTGGAGCACTTCTTCCAGTCCCTCTTCTTGAAGGGGGGAACCACCACCCTAGTCTGCCAATCCAGTGGCACTGCCCCTGATGTCCATGCAATGTTGCAAAGGCGTGCCAACCAAGACAAACCCACAACATCCAGAGCCTTTAAGAAATTAGGGTGAATCTTATCTACCCCCAGAGCCCTGCCACCTTGGAACTTTTTAATTACCTCGGTGACCTCTGCCACGGTTATGGACAGACCAACCTCGAATTCCCCCGACTCAACTTTCTCCATGGAAGATGTGCCAGTGGGATTGAGAAGGTCTGAGAAGTATTCCTTCCACCTCCAACAATATCAATGGTTGAGGTCAAAAGCACCCCACCTTCACTGAACACAGTGTTAGTAAAGCCTAACCCTAACCCGGGGTGTCCACCACTGAGTTCAAGGATGGCCACTGCGAGAAGTACTGACAACCTTGCGGCCACAGCTCAAGGCAGCCACCTCAACAACTGAGGTGCAGAACATGGCCCACTCGGACTCAATGTCCCCGCCTTAGGTGGGATGCGATTAAAGCTCTCCCGGAGGTGTGAGTTGAAAATCTTTTTGGCGGATTCTTCTACCAAGAGTTTGCAGCAGACTCTCACAACATGATTGAGTCTACCGGGTATGTCCTTCATCTTTCCCTGCCATCTGATCCAACTCTCAACCAAGTGGTGATCGGTTGACAGCTCAGCTCCTGTCTTTACCCAAGTGTCCACAATAAATGGCTGTAAATCAGCCAACTCCACTACAAAATCAATCATTAATCTACGACTATCTGTGGTTTAGTTGAACCCAGGGTGCAGACAGATGTGGGAAACTGAAAGCTAAAATAAAGAATTCTAATTCATTAACAAATATGAAAAAGAAAAGGCTGACATGGCAGCAAAAACTTGCATAAATATAAGCAAGAGAAGGGTGACACGGAGAAAAACAGCATGAACCACTTGGGAGGACAATCCACAGACAGGGAAGAAACAAACTGACACAGAACTAATAGAGGACACTAACAAGACACAATGATGAACACCTGTGACTGGGATTGAGGACAGGTGAGACAGGATCTGGCAACATGAGGGAAGAAACACTAAAAAAGGCAGGACTGATAACACAAGAAAATACAAACAAAACACAACGTCTCAACGATCTAGGGCATCCTGGTGCCAAGTGTACTTATGGACACCCTTGTTCTCGAACATGGTGTTTGTGATAGACAAACCATGACTAGCACAGAATTCCAACAACAGAACACCACTCAGGTTCAGAGAGGCTGTTCCTCCCAATCACGCCCAATCCAGGTCACACTGTCATATCTTCATATGTTGCTTATTCATTATTATTTTAGTTTTTAAAAAAATTGCATTGTCTAATCATATTTTATGTAAATTAGTTGATGGTTTTTATCCTCTTAATCTGGCAGGTCCTGGTGTATTTATCTAATTATATCTGTTTCAGTCATTTGAGTGATTTTATTACTGGATTAAGAAACAGCAACCATAGCCTGATCCAACCCGCATATAATTTTTACAAGACAACAATAAGCTGATGTTGTTGATGTACTTTCATGTTTAAATGATTTGTGAGCGTTATTCCATTCACAAGTTTTTAACTGAATTTAGAGATCTGCACTTTGTTGTAGACTGCATATAGGCACAGGTGGTAAGCTCTTTTTGCTTGGAGTCAGAATATTTTTGTGCACGTGTGGATTTTCACTTAGTCTTTTCGCTGGTTTCCTTCCACAGACTAAAAACGTGTGTGTTAGGTTAATCGGTGATCTTAAGGCACACTTAAAATCCTTTAATTTTCTCAAAAATCGACAGTGAGCCTTAAAATCCAGTGCACCTTAAGTATTAATTCTGGTTGTGCTTACTGACCTCAAACCGAACTTATGTGGTACACGGCGCTCTAAAATCTGTCAAAATGAACTTATTTCGCTTAATGCACCTTATAATCCGGTGCGCCTTATGTATGAAAAAAGACCCGCTTTATAACCGGGTGCGCCTTATAGTCCGAAAAATACGGTATCTGTTTCTGTGATGACGGAGAGAAGTTCCAGCTCCCTGTGATCTTGCACAAGAAGTACAGAAATTAGATAGAAGGGTTTTAGATACAAGCAGCCCATGTTATGTTTGCTGACCTCTGGACTGTTTTGAACCAGATTGGTATTGAGCACACAGGTTAACTACAATATCTTCAAATCTAACAGTAACAGTTGAGAGTACAGCTTTGAAGGAACACCAGTGGTTTCACGTTTGGATTAAGACTCATATCAGTATCCCGTATCAGTTTAGCTAGTAAAAAAGTATGTGATGGCGGTTCTTAAAAACTGACATTTAAATGTAAAGCATGAGTATGATAAACATAAACTTATCAGAATATGTTTGTTCGTGATAAAAATGTATATGTGTAACCTGGTTGTTGTACAACTTCTCAGCCTTAGCGATGTTCTCAGCAGCAATGCCTTCATATTGTTTCCTGATATTTTCTAGCTCCGCTGTAAGTTCTGATTTGGTCATGTCTGTCTGGTCAGTAGAGACTCCTTTCAGGACCGTCGTCTTCAGCTCAGTGAGTTCCTGTGCAAAGACAATGATGGAGGTTACAGTTCTGTGTGATTTTTATAGATTGTGTTTGTAGATACCAGAACGAATAACTGGGATTAGGTTTGTGTGTGTTCCTGAAAAAGCTCCAATAAACACCCAGCTTCAGGTCAGGTTCAAATACATTTTGTTTTCAATTTAAGAGGAAACAGTCATGTTCTAGAAATAAAATAATTTCTGAGCATAACATTAAAATACTTTGTTTTATGCTGATACTGGCTGAAATAAAAAAAAGTATCAGTTTCTCAAACTGTAACCAGCTGTGAGAGGACTAAAAGTTATGAAGGAACGTTCGGAATGCATAGCCACAAACTTCCAGATCGCCAAACAACAGCCATCAGATTATTTTCTTTCCTGACAGAAAATAATATTTCATGTTGATGAATCTAAGGCATTTACTGTTTGACAATGTTGCGCCATCACCGGGCAAATTCAAGCTGGTGTTCATGAAGCCATGTTTCAGCATCACTTGGAGTGAGCTCCGGTACATCTCCAAATTGAAAATCTTATAATGAATGATGCCAGAGACATGAGATGAGCTATAAACACTCTGCACATTTAAGGAAGTAAATATGTGTCATTATGATTTGAATTAAAAATGCCACTGAAATTTTAATGTATGTTTGTGTAGAGGGATATGGGGCTGGATATATATTGTAAATTATCAGTTAAGCTCATAAGATATGCACTTAATATGCAAATAGCCTTGTTGTGTGGGCACCACCTCTCTTGTAGAGGAAAAATCAGTCTCTATTAAACACCAAATTAATGTAAACTGAAATGTGAGTTCTTTCTCGTGTTTAAAGGGCATCAAGTCAGTTAATACACACAGATATGCCAAAAATAAATAACAAATTCAGTTGATTTTATGTATTTTATTATAAAAATAATAATCTATGATATATGTGATGATGATGATGCATAACAAGAGCTACTGAATAACAAAATAGCTTTGTATCAAAGGTCTAATTGATGAGAAAACTTAAATAGCAGAATTTGGACTGGTTCTGTTTGTGAAATACAAACCGGATTCCAAAAAAGTTGGGACACTAAACAAATTGTGCATAAAAACTGAATGCAATGATGTGGAGGTGCCAACATCTAATATTTTATTCAGAATAGAACACAAATCACAGATCAAAAGTTTAAACTGAGAGAATGTATCATTTTAAGGGAAAAAATCTGTTGTTTCCAAATTTCATGGCGTCAACAAATCCCAAAAAAGATGGGACAAGTCCATTTTTACCACTGTGTGGCATCCCCCCTTCTTCTTACAACACTCAACAGACGTCTGAGGACAGAGGAGACCAGTTTCTCAAGTTTAGAAATAGGAATGCTCTCCCATTCGTGTCTAATACAGGCCTCTAACTGTTCAATCGTCTTGGGCCTTCTTTGTCGCACCTTCCTCTTTATGATGCGCCAAATGTTCTCTGTAGATGAAAGATCTGGACTGCAGGCTGGCCATTTCAGTACCCGGATCCTTCTCCTACGTAGCCATGATGTTGTGACTGCTGCAGAATGTGGTCTGGCATTATGGTGTTGAAAAAATGCAGGGTTTTCCCTGAAAGAGATGACGTCTAGATGGGAGCATATGTTGTTCTAGAACTTGAACATAGTTCTCTGCATTAATGGTGCCTTTCCAGACATGCAAGCTGCCCATGCCACAAGCGCTCATGCAACCCCGTACCATCAGTGATGCAGGCTTCTGAATGGAGCGTTGATAACAAATTGGGCCTTGGACCAGAGAGAACCTTGTTCTCTCTGGTCCAGATGACATGGCGTCCCAGTGTTCCATAAAGAACTTCAAATCGTGACTCATCTGACCACAGAACAGTCTTCCATTTTACCACACTCCATTTTAAATGACCCCTGGCCCAGTGCAAACATCTGAGCTTGTGGAGCTTGCTTAGAAATTGCTTCCTCTTTGCACTGTAGAGTTTCAGCTGGCAACGGCAGATGGCACGGTGGATTGTGTTCACTGACAATGGTTTCTGGAAGTATTCCTGAGCCCATTCTGTTATTTCCTTGACAGTGGCATTCCTGTTTGAGGTGCAGTGACATTTAAGGGCCCGGAGATCACGAGCATCCAGTAGAGTTTTACGGCCTTGACCCTTACACACAGCGATTGTTTCAGATTCTCTGAAACTTTTGATGATGTTATGCACGGTTGATGATGATAACTTAAAAGTCTTTGCTATTTTATGCTGGGTAACACCATTCTGGTATTGCTGCACTATCTTTCTGCGCAACAATGGTGGGATTAGTGATCCTCTTACCATCTTGGCTTCTGAGAGACACTGACACTCTGAGAAGCTCTTTTTATACCCAATCATGTTGTCAATTGACCTAATTAGTGTTAATTGGTCTTCCAGCTGTTCTTTATATGCACAATTTCCTTTTTCCAGCCACTTATTGCTACTTGTCCCAACTTTTTGGGGATTTGTTGACACTGTGAAATTTTGAATCAACATATTTTTCCTTTAAAATTTTACATTTACTCAGATTCAACTTTTGATCTGTCATCTATGTTATATTACGAATAAAATATTGACATTTGCCATCTCCACATCATTGCATTCAGTTTTTATTCACAATTTGTTTAGTGTCCCAACTTTTTTGGAATCCGGTTTGGAGTTAAAATTGTGTCTAAAGTGAGCGGTAGTTTGTCAAAGATAATTGTGATGTAGGTTCACCAGAAAGGCATTGAAGAGTCTTTGTCCTACCAGAATGAGATGCCAGAATGGTCCGACAGCTGCTTAAAAATGGTACCAGCCCAGATGTTCTGGTGACTGAGAGGCTGATTTTTCCTCAAAGTTCACCTGTCATCTTAGAGGGACGAGGGTCCATATGGGAGTCAGCTGGGATTTACCACTCTGCGGAGTGATGGTTCTGGTAACAAATCTCAGGTTAATGCCATGTTCTGTGTCTTTTTCTCGTCCTGAGAAGTCTGCAGAAAGGATGCTTCTCTCCTCTCTGAAGCTGGGTTTTTCTCTCCCAGTTCCGAGCTCCAGTGAAGTCTTCTGAGACTGAGCCTCAGTGAAGTGTGCAGCAGAATTGTAGAAGTAGATGTGAAAAAGCAGTGAAGAAGTAATGCCAGAAATGAAACTTAACTTAACTGTCTGTGTGTTACAGATTGACTTTGGTCCACCTCAGGAGGGGGCGGTCCTAACTCTTGTTTGATAAAATCTAAAGACCAAATATATTCTTAAAGAGAGATTACTTAGAACACACATTAACATGAATAAACATTCAGGTATGAAATAAAACAGAAAATGACATTTTGGAGTTAATAGCAGGCAATGTTTCACCAAAAGGTGTTGCTGTCCATTCCCTGAAAAGTAAATGTTATTAGACAAAGGGGTTCTCATGGTGTTATCTTCATGGGAACCATTCTGGGAGAAGCACTCCTTTTCGATAAAGGAAGATATCAAAGTAGTGAGTTCGGATGTTCGTAAGCTTCGAGGTCACTTGAACCAAAACTCTCATTAAAACGATCTGTCCGTTTCATGGGAAATGAGTTCATATTTTTTCTTTATGTTTGTTTTTTGTTTTTTGCGCATGAAGTTCAATACTTCATAAACAATACTACAGAAAAATTAAAACATTAAATTCACCGTTGAGTTAGCGTTAGCTTCCGTGACCGCCTCGGCCATGCTGTTTTCCTTCAAAATGAGTGCGACAAGCGTAACGTCAAGTGACTAAAAAAAAGTGGATGTGGGTGTTGGATTCTGACATCCTTTGCTAATGTCTGTGACCTGAAGTAACCCTACCTATTTTTTTACACTGAATTTTTAGACACTGAATTTGAGACAGTGCCACTGAGCCAGTTGAATCTCAGGACACTGAAAATATGGAGCTTGAATTTTGAAAGGTTTGAATTTCTTTTCATATGCCGAATTTTTAACACTTAAAAGTTCAAATGAAAAACAGCTATTGAAAATGTGATGACTTTGAAATAATAATGTGAATTTTTAGCTTGAAGTGAAAATAACAAATGAAGTTTCAAACATATAGAAATAATGACAATGATTTTCTTTAGGTTAAAAATGTATTCTGAATATATTTTAAAACTGAAAAATGAAATGCAAACATACAACATTAAAATTTCAGTGGCATTTTTAATTCGAATCCTAGCGACACATATTTCCTTCCATACTCGTTCAACTTTTCCCACACTGTGCATAATAAAATCTCAGTGCATAATGAATGAAATACATAAAAATGATAGCATGTTGTTTACGATGGTGCCTGGATTAAGAAGGTTTGCATTAGATGTTGGGGAACTGAGACTGTGCGTGTTTATGAGTCACTTTCATAAAGTGCAACAATTGAGCAGAAGAAAGGTGCATACCTGTTTATGAACCTTTTTATTGAGCTTGATCTGTCTCTGCAGTTCATCGGTCTCATTCTTCAGTTTTTGTTTTTCTGCTTCCAGCTCCTGCAGTATTTCAAATGAACATTTTATGATGAAAAACGCTTTGATATAAAAGTTTGCTGACCAGGGAAAATAGCCAAAAAGGCAGTGCCGGTAATAATGAATAAATTGAAGTCAGCATTTTGTAAATGCACTCTTCACAGCAAAGTTCTGGTCACATGTTAAAATGGATATATTTAATGTTCATGTCTCTAGAAATATTCCCAACTACAATCAGCACCCTACTACAAACTCATAGAGATTTCTTACTGGATTTTCTCAAGCTTCTAAAACAAATGGGACATGTAGAAGGATGATGTCATGCATTAATTATTATAAGTGAATCATCACATCACTTTTTTCAGAAGACAAAAAGACAGACAGATTATTAATCCCAAAGGGAAAATTTGAGGCATCCAGTAGCATGTTCTAATTATACAGAAAAAAGAAACAGGAACTAGTAAAAAAAGAAGCAGAATACACAAATTCAGAAAAAGACAATTTGCACATGCACAAGGTGGTAGGAAGTAGTACACTCACGATTAAAATTATATATATAT